CAGCAGACTGGAAAAGAAAGGATAAATAGGCGTTATTGTGATTCACTTTGAAGTATCTATCTGTAAGATAGTTACGGATAATGATGAAGTATGTAGATGGTAGGAATTTACGGATTTTGTACTACAGTCCCGGATGCCAGACTCTATCAAACGCCTGTTCAACGTTGAAAAAGACTCCCGTGCAGTACACTCCACGCTCCAATGCAGAGTAGACTACGTCTATCACAGGATGATATTGCTGGATAGTGGAATGAGTTGTGCGGAATCCAAACTGGTGATTATTTGATTGTATCTGGGATTATGTGATTAGAATTTAGGATGGAGAAATTATATTTAAATACATACAAACGCTCGGTACTGATATCACTTTTATAAAAACATCGTTATTGCCTACATATGGTACTTCTACACTTTAAACACACGTCTTTTCATCATCTTGTCATTCATGATTCTACCTTCACCATATTGTCCTCAACGATACCATACCAATGCCATCTCACTTCTGGGAATTTTTAATACTTTGTCTCTTGAATGAAGTAAGGATTTCTAAGACATTTTATGCAAATAAATGCAAAAGCTAGTTATTGATTGATATCATTTTTACACGAACACTGCTATTGCCTTCTATTTATGATACATATGGTACACTTTTTCCATATCCCATCATGTCGATTCATAATTTTGTTATTCGCAAATCTATTGTTAGCACTATGTTGCATTTTTCGTAAATGTTCATTTTTTTTTTATTGAATATTACAACAATCTGTCACATGGACACTAGTTATAGTGAGGTAGGATAACATTCACACTATATATACAAAAAAAATAAAATAAACAGAAGAAAAAATAACAATAAATAATAATCAAAAAGTATAATCAATATATAATATAATAAATTAAATAATGTTTTAGTTATCGTTTCCTATTTAATAAAAATCATAACACTAAAAAAATACAAAACTTTTTCTTCCAGAAATGGAACTTTAGTCTGCAATCTTTTCTTGGGTACTTCCTTGTTTTTACACGAAATACTTTATTAAAATCAATATAAAATGTATCCTATTTGTTGAGAATCCTACTACAGTAGCCAGATCTACGTTTTTTAAAATAAATTTGAATCAAACTGAAATTAAAATATATTTTTCTGATTGGTATTGTATCATAATAAGTCTTTTAATTATTTTTACACTGTCTATGAAAATTTATGTTGTGCATCGCGAGGTATTCTTGCATTGATATCTTTGGCGTAGCGCTATCGAATATTCCGCTGCAAGGAGTGAACTCGAATCTCGACAATATACGTGATAAATAATTATATCTTGTTGATATGAATATAATTTTGTAAATAAAACGCTATTTCTTAAAAAAAAAAAATGTTAAATAAAAACTACGAAAAGTGATTACCTCATCTTATTTTATGCAAACATTGAAGAAGTTGAGAGTTAGAAGACAGCCCAATTAGACTTGGAAAAGCTCAGAAAAGGCCATTAGACTGCTAACAAACCTTGGTGTGTCAGCTGTGCGCCCTATATTCCTTTGTAGAGTCGGTTAAGATCGGTTCTCCGATATCCAAAGAGAAACAAATTCTCATATATTTCTAATTACAGGGCTCTTTGCAATATCCTACAAAAGCTCGCTTTGTGTAATTATGGCCTTGTCAAGTTGATAAATTTTGACGCATTGCCTTATTCTCATTTTACGCTGTTTTATTAACTGCCCCTAGTTATATAATTTTTTTCATCAAATTATAAAGGAAATTTTTAATGGCCTTTATGCTCTAAATATTCCCAGACGTTATTAAGGCAATAATTAAAAGGTAACCTATTGGATCACGAAATATTTTCCATCATAGTATAGGAAGAATCTTCCATATTGAAAATGTGAAATATCTGTGTCAATCATAGATAAAAATAAAGGTACTATTCGTGACTTATGTTTCCCTTCGTAAAAAAAAGTGATTTTAGAACTGAGAACATTACCTTTCCTTACAATCAATCGATTGATATGACATCATCACTCCAAATTTTTTAAAAACATGTTTCGTAATACAAATATTGTAAACTGCTTAGATTTTACGTTTATTTGATGTTGTTAGGCTTCCATCTTCCCTTTTTAATATAAAACTATTAAAGTTTTTATAATTTAACAAATAATTGCCCGAAATGCCGTAGTGAGCTGGAACCCATACGAATACCACAATCAAACCTTTATTAAACGTAAATTTATTATTTCCCTAATGATTGCATCACTTGGGTATGTGTTGCCAATGGCAGTTAAAACACTATACGAGTCCTTTCAAACGACCCAGAAGATTTATTGGAATCTCTTATCAAATAAATAGCATTCAAGATGGCTGTCGCCTCTCTGGTAAATATGGAGCAGTCTCCTGGCAGGTTAATTTCATCTGATTGGTGAAACAGCAGAGCCTATACTCTTTGCAGCCTTGTATGCATCATTATATTTAAAATGAAAGCTTTAATATTTTTTTGTTTGTTTTAAAATTGATTTTGAAATTTCAATAGATATGTCTTTGAAGTTTTGACCGTCTATTTATTTCTCACTTGTCTGTCATTTTTTCAATTTTTTTTGTTTTAATCTGGGCTGGGTTTAATATTGCTCTTATTAATGTTTACATCCTTATGTCTTATAAATTTCTCGTTTGAATTTATTACTTCATATATTCTTAAGTCCGCGTTTTTCACTATCTTCATTTAAGAGCTAAATATTTTCACATCATGGATGGTTTTATAAAAACGACATGGATGTTGCCGCCTGAGGAAGTCCAAAACTCTCCGGTACAGATTCTAAGGACTAGAGTATAAAATAAAATAGAAAATATTGACCTTGGAACAGCTCAATGTAGTCTATGTGGACACGCTAAGAGTTTCCATGAGGGGTCGTCCAAGATTATGGTTTGCTTTTTTATGACTATTTTTGGCTGCAACACATGTCTCACATGTTTTCACTAATGCTTCAATTTCTCAATAAATTGATTTCCTACAGAAATGGTTACATACCAATTTTGGATGATTCCTATTCGATGATTCCTGCTTACAAAGAACGATACAACGGTACAGAAACACTTGGTTCTCTAAAAGGTATTTCGTTATCTATTATAAACTCTGAATCAGAATTATGGTTGCCATGCAAAATGAGAAGGGTTGTTGATTTACTGCGGAAAGATTAGTAGCCTAGCAAAAGAGTTGAAATAATCGAGATGAATGCCATACAAATCTGATGAATTGCTTCGGTTATACTAACATCAGTAGATGCATTTATATCTGAAGGTGCTCTCAGTAGACAATCGACGTTGACATTTTAATTCCAGTTTTTGAAAACGTTGTCATTGATGTCTGCTGTGCTGGATTACAAAAGTTGTTCCCGAATTCCGTTATCCTTTCAACTTGCGCTAACGAGAAGAAATAAATTCCTCAAAGAGCTGCCACGAAATACGTGATAGACTGTAAATCTTAATAAATATACCTCATAAATCGACAAAATTTAATGTTGGCAATTTTATGAGGTGATGATAGGGAAAGCTCGGTTTGTGATGGGCTGCTGTTTGTGCTGAAACTCAGTTAAAATTATTGAATTCAGTAGAATTTAGAAGTAATCAGGTGCAATATTGTTTATTATCGATGCATTTTTATTTCAAGATGTTTTTCCGAATCTCTGCTTGTAATAAAAGGAATGATTGTTTCTTTTATTCATCAGTTTCAAAATTTTGAAACAACGCAGTGTTGACACCTTGTATTGATTCATTTGACCCTTCAGTAAAACCTAGAAATGGGGGTGATTAAGGTCGTTGAATATTGGCCACGAACTGAGTGATCATGTTTTGTCGAAGTTTAAGGACTGTTTTGAATAGTTCAGGATCGTTAGGATAAAGTCATCAGTAGTAGACACTATTGTGAGACTTTTCCAATAATTTTAAATGTAACTCATTCGATTCTTTTAAAGCTTCCTTTTTTTGCTATATTTGTCCAACAACACTCTTATTTGACCTAAATTAAACATTGATATTTAGGTCGTGTTTCAGATCATTTTCGAAAATATGTTTTTTCACCAATAGTAGACATCAGTGTACCAGTAGTAGACACCGCTTCATTAATTTATCTAATTTATTTCTAATCAAATATTCACATATATTGGCAGTTTTTACCAAGGAACTATGATTTTTAAAAAATACAAACTTCAAAAATGCTAACAAAAAAAAACGTATTAATTAAATTACATTTGTAGGTAAAAAGGAACAAGACTTTTTTCCATGCTTAGAATAGAACTATGTATGATATTCACTCATTAATACAAAAAAGTTGAGTTTTGACAAGAGATATTATCAGTATCCTCCCAGTAGTAGACAGTTTGTTTTTGGGCTCAATCAAACAAAACTAACACACAAACACACGTTACCTAGTGATTTCATTGTCTAAACTATCATTTAGGAAAAAAAATTGTGAAAAATCTTGGAACAATAAAAGCATAATTGATGAAAATCAAACTGCCCTTTCCACTGCTCACTTGGTTTGCTACCGGATTCTAGTGGTTACACAATATAAGTTAAAGTTTAAAATGAAACCAAATTCAAATCATTCTGGTGGTTCCAACTCTTTTTATAAGTTGGTTCTACAAACTTATTTTTTAAGTTAAAGTTTCATGTGTCTACTAGTGGCTTGATGTCTACTACTGGTGCCTTTACCCTATATACCTTATAGCGGATCGATTAAAAAACATTTTATACAATAAATTGTTATATAGCATTTAGCGAACTACTCAAACACTCCGTGTAGCTTCGCCGTGGTTGAGTAAGAACAGAAAAACGTTGTGTTTGAACTCAGTATGTTACAGAAAGTATTTTGGAAAAGGGTGTGTTTCGTTGTATTTTGATAGCAGTATTTAGGTTTTTTTTTTTTTTTTTTTACTGTGCTTTCAACAGGCCGTATGCTCTTAGGTGATGGATAAATCACTGTTTTTATCATCAACTTTTTTTTCTTTTTCAGGAGAGCTCTATCCAGGGTTTCAGTAACCAGCTTGTTAACGACCGATTGGCTTCGATCCAGGTTCCGCAGAGGTTCGAGGGACTTTGCGAGGAAGCTAACCAACTCCAGACTCACATACAACAGCTGCAAGATTCTCTTTCCACTATGTTGAGGATACAGCAAAGGTAGGCCTTTTGAATTGTCATATTAGATAGGAACCATTCTTTCTTGGCTTTGTAGTCTTAGTCCAACAGGAAGAACTTCTTTACTATTTAACGAAAATTCCGTATTTTAAATAATTACTATAAGTTCTAGTTTTGTTACTTAACAATTATAGTTATTTCAGTACCTCTTACTTTCCCTATAATCTTTATGACCACATTAACAATCAAAGTTAATATATTTCTATGTCATGCGTTATTTATTTGAAAAGAGAACCTAAGATACTTGCACCACGAACATAAAATGAAATAAAATATTCCTTTAATCTCTTCTTATTTATAAATAGAATATGTACACATATATAAAACAAATAAGAAGATATAAAAAAGTCCTGTCTAGCAACAGATACATTCAGCTATTACTTTTTTTTTGTGCTTACTATTGTTGCTAAAAAATTGGAAGTCTGTCAATCTACTTCGACGTCCAGGTGATAGAAGATGTTCGAAAATGTCAGAATATCCTCGGAAGAATAGTTTCGAAAATGCAAGATTATCTTATATTACCTTTTGTAAATAACTCGGACTATTTAATAAAAAAAAAGTTATGCCTCACTAGTACGATTTATTTAGGCATTTCCGACCTTATTACAGCATTACAACTTCTACAAACTAAGTAAACAATGCGCGAAAGAAAGATAAGTGACTAGTGAAAATCGCCTGTTAAATAAATGAGCCTGTCAGTTGATAGAATGTTTACATTTTTTATTATTGATTTCAGTGATATTTACTGTGGAAAAATGTATATCTTTATTCACGATTTTATATTTCAGTACTACAATCATCTATTCTGGAATCGACTCACTGTCTGTACAGATATTATGAACTGTCCAACTAGACATGTCACTAAAATAACTTTACTCAAAAATGTTGAAATTGGAGTTAGTCGTTTTGTCAACTGAAAGGCTCCAATAACCTGTACCCATGAGTTGCCACGTAACAACCTGTATAATTAAACTACTTGACTTAATCAATATGCCTTAAATTAGTATCACTAGGTTACTTTTTCTTTAATTTTATTTTAATATCAAATTTACTTTCTTTTTGGCTATCAATTTTATCTATCAACAATATCTACTTTTCCATCTGACAGACATCGATTATACTGTCTGAATTTTTAACAAGTCTGCCAGTACTAAATTACTGGATATGAGATAAGAACAGGTTCTCTTGCAATCATTTTGTCCCTGCCTTTTTATCTAACAGCATAGAGATTATAATCCTAACACTAGACAGTTTACCATGTATACATTTTATCATGTATGTATGTGCCGATAGCACCCTTACTCAACTTCTATTGGCTTTCAATAACGGTGAAGTAGTTGAGAGAGAAGCTCTGGGATCTCCTGGTACCTCGCTTTTCCCTTCACAAGTGGAGAAACAAGACAGGTTCGGAGTTTCCACGGCTGATTGTAAATTGGATATATAAGTATCATTATTAACAATTATTACGTATCAATAATTATTAAACTAAAAGCATGAACAACCATAAGAATAAAAAAATAAAAATGTCGATTATTCTCTATCAACACGATTAGGGTATTTCTCTTCGAGTCTGCTTCATTACTTTTTTTCCCTTTAAAAGGTAAATTACTTGGCCATTTCTGGGAGAGAGAGGAGAAGGGTAACCTGTAAGTTACCAACCTATTCTTAACATTCTTAAAGTTAAATTCGTAGGTCCGCTGCTGCGCCGCACAGTGGGACAACTACGGACGGGGAAACTTGCGTCATCGGGTAATTTTTTTTTTTTTTTAAATAAAAACAGTGAACAATCTATGTTCTGCAAACTGAAAATATTCTCGGTAACTCTTCAAGGTATCCACAAAATCAATAATTTTTGGAGTTCTAAAAAAAAAATTTAGCCGATGTTGGGATTTACTTTCATTACTCGTCTCACTGTACGTCGGTAGTTTCGGAGTTGTTACGACAACTTGACCACTCCAGCCGTCCCCTTCTTAATTACTGACTGCGACCATGTTCTTCGAAATCTATTATCTGTTCTCCTCCTTCTTCTGTTTTGCTATTATTTCCTTAATGGGATTTATAATTCTCCTAATTAGCTTGCTTTCTTTTGAGCATATGTCAACACTATCAATATATCATTCATCACTACCTCATTATATTATAAATTAAATGAAATGATATTCTAAACCCTCCAAGATATTTTTTCTCAAATATATGATCCGTTGCGTTAGATCTTATCGTTCCCAATTTGCCATTACTCTTAACAGTCTCCCTATTTTAAGTTTCTTTTTCTTTTTCTTCATAAATTCTCTCTATCTCCCATTCTTTTTTCACTCATATTATTGATCTCTTTGAGCCTATTCTTAATTATTATTTCCATTAGTAAAAAAGATTAGACTTTGAATATTTTTTTTATTTAATCAGCCATCTTTTATATCCCACCAAGAGATCTGACTTGGTGGTTGCAACCGATTATTGCAAATAGCCCAGATGTTAAATAAAATACATTTATTTCAATTCTCTTTTTCTTTTTCTACGTTCTTCCTTATATGACTAGGTCAGGAACTAAAATGAAGAATTCAGTAGTTCTCCTTCGGTCCTCTAGGCTTCCATGTAGTGTCCTTTCCAATTCAGTTGGAGAGGGCCAAATCACCTTCCTTGATTGAGGGAGCGGGGTGGCCGAATGGGCTAAAGCGTGTGCACAGCACCGCGAGTTGCCTGGCCACCGGAGAGCAATATTTGAGATGATTTAAAAAGTACGAGTTCGCGTTCCGGTGCCGGAGGGGATTTTAAATTCCTCGCTCTCACCCTCCGGCCCAGGAAAATCCCGTATAGCCTAAAAGGCGAGGTAGGGAAGAACAAAAAAAAAAAAAAAAATCACCTACCTTTCCTGGGAGTAGGCCATGCATGTTTGTAGGATATGTTCCACATTCTGTACATCCTCACCACACTTGCAGAGGGGACTAGAGCCAATTTTGAACTTACTGAATAGGTGACCTTTGAGCCTGTAGTGTCCAGTTCGTAGGCGAAAAATCAAGACCGGATCTCGTCGGGTTAGTCCATAGATCGCATCTCTGGGGTCGTAAAGTGCATGACTTCTGAGCCAACATTGCTTAATAATCGCTTTATTTCAATTCTCTTTTTAAGCTCTTAACCAAATTTTCGGAAATCAACTAATCTTTGTCTCATGTCTCCGTTATTCATCATTTGTTTGATTTTTGGACATTTATTTATGATCGCGGACATTGAACAGGCGCGATGAGAAATTAGTGAAAAGAACTTCTGGACAACAAATAAAAGGATCAGTGTATTGGAGTATGTACTGGTCGGTAACAAACTTGCTTTGAGACCTTTAGATTTTGTATAAAGACTAAAAATAAAATACGATATAAGTTTCTGTCTGAACGACTTTTAATTTAACACCTCAAAAATCTGTAACAGTTCTCTGATCCCAAATTATTCCTCGACCAGCAATGGATTAGACTACCAGATTTAGAGATCATCTATATTTTCATGAAGATCATGGACACATTTCTTCATGCTCTTCTTAGGTATTGCCAATGGAGAACCACTAAGTAACTGTGACAGTGAAATAGATGCAGTGGGTAAGGTTGATCTACACTTGAAAAGAGTATATCCTTCAAGTAATGGTGAAATTAATTAAGTCTATCCGGGTTCAACATACATTACGTGTTGAATTATAGCTACACTAATGAAGACAAGTATTGGACGATTAAGGAATGAAAGCTAAAGCTGTAGGCGCGTAGAAATTGTTTAGAATGAATAGGCCGATTTCCCAAGATAAGTGCTCTCCCAGAGCAGCTTTTAGGAAGGCTTGTATTGATTCACTGACATAAAGGGTTGACTGTATTAGGTGATGTCCCACATGATCTCTTCCATTGACAAAAAATGTGAGAAAATCTCGTCAAAGAGGACCGAATCCCTCACAGCCTTCCTATAGCCATTGGTGTTACAATTTTCCGAATGGCTGCATGACGATTATGTGGAAGTCCGTCAGCCTATAATTGATATTCTCGGCTCACTAGATTTTCTTCTTTACCGGTTCGTGATAAATATGGTTCGCAGATTATATTGGCATATTTACAGCTTTTCAAGTGAAAGAGACAGATTGTTCTTACTTAAACCCGGATTATTTCCTCTTTCATTCCATGGTTTTCGAAACTTTTAAATGTCTTATTTCCTTTTTAGTTCTCACAAACTTTTATTATAATAGAATAATTATTATAGTTAAAATTATAATTATAATTTTTATAATAAATAACAAAGTCCTTCCACTGCCCGAGGGTACCTATCCCCAATCCTTGAAATGCTCTCGGACAGTGGAAGGACTTTGTTATTTGTATATATTTGTATTGTTATAGTTATATATGTAATTTAAATAAATAAGCTTTAGAGGGTTAGTAAAAAAAAAATATAATTTTTATTTTATTTTTCTTTCTTGTTCACTCTTGTTTAATGTTTATTCGCTAGGTTCCTTTTTCTTTATGGTTATTTTAATCTGGTCCTTTAAATGTTAATAGACTAATTTTGTAGTATTTTATTAATTCAAATTTTTTTTTAATTTTAGAAGTATTGAGTCGTCTCTCTTCAATAAGGCTAATGAAATTCAAGAGGACATTTCTATGAAGAGATATGACCTGAAAAATGCACAGCTTAATCTTGCAGCAGTGAAAGCAACAGTAAGTATATTATTAAATATTAAAATGTACTATCATTTATCCTTAAGAACATAGGATATTTTTTATTTTATCTCAATTCGTTACTTCATCGAATGAAAAATTTAGAAATGCTTATAAACTCCATAGGTTGCATAAAGATAGATCACTTTAACAACAAATGTAAATCGTTTATAATAAGTCCGTCATTTCATTTTTACAGTGTCATGTTTGAATTCCGATATATTCATCAACAATCGATTTTCGTGACCAATCCTTGAAGACTATTTAGGTTGTATACAACGTTAAAAAAAAATATCTAAAAGCAAATATTTTACCACGTTTCATGCAGTTAGATATTATTGTTTTCATGTTGGATATTCTAAGAATTACTTTGAGCTAAGAGTTTAGGAAAAAAAACGAAAAAATCTGGCGTGTCCAATCACTCGACTTTCCTACCTATTTCAGAAAAGCTTTTATATGTTTACAGATTTCCATTAAGAAACAAAAAAAAAGTGAATTAGATTTATTTTCCTGAAAATTGATCAAAGAAAAGATTTGGGTACGATTTATTCGATAAACTAAAGCTATGTTATGTAAACCGTCTTAAGGTAGATCAGTGTAAACATTTCAATACCCTCCAATATTACTTATCCAAAACTTTTTTCCGTAGCCTAATTTTGTCTAACAATAATTTCGTGAAGCTTGTGTGATCCGGCCAACAGATTTTCTTACTTTCACTTAGTTATGTTTTTTCTCTCATTCACCCCTTTCTGACACCAAGATACACGGGCAGATCTAGGGGGGGAGGGGGGGCTTTCGGGCTGAAGCCCCCCCCCCCCAAAATGGAAAAATATAACCATGTTTTATGGGGAAAAAAATTAAAAAAATTCCTCTTAAAGTATTATTGTTTGTGTAATTACATTTAAAAGTACTTAAGGAATAACTTAAACACCATTTCATATAGGTAGTTATTTTCTTTCTGTTTTTCCAAAGTAATTATCGTTATTTTTATGAAAAAAAAAAAGGTTTCGGGCTGAAGCCCTCCCCAAAATTAAATCCTGGATTCGCTAGTGCCAAGATATGAACCCATAATCTTACATTGGAAACTGAATAGCTGTCCGAACGTTATTAGTTGCCCGAAATGAACGATTTTTGTACCTTTCAAAAAACAAACATTAAAAAAAAACAGACTAAAATGTGTTTTTCTAACTCATAGGGCTCTGAAACGTATAGATCCGTCAAAAACCACATATCGTAAATTTGACGCGATTGCAATACTTTCCTTACCTAGTATAGGTAGAAAATTAATAAATTAGAATAAACGCCATTTTTTTAGAAATAACACTAATATATTTTTTTCATACATTGGATCAAAATTTGTGAGTTTTCCATAATTGAAACATATCTTATAGACGATTTCAGTTATGGCGAACCCGCAAACTGATAAGTAAATAAGTAAGTATTCCTGCGAATTACGGAGAAAATACTTCAAATCCCTTGATGTTTTTGTGGAAAGAAGCTGTAGGAGTTCAGCACTGCAACCTCTGTCCATCAAGGTCACTTGGAAGTACGAGCAGTAGCGTCAGGAAGTAGGAAATGAATTAGTGTCCGTAAGGTGTAAGCCTTTTGCTATTTCAACAATAAATATTCCAAAACCTTGCACAAATAATAAAATGTCATCAATTGAACTTCACTGATCTCAAAACATCTATTGCTATGACACGAAATTGGATTAAAGCTGCCATCTCATATCATTGTTATGTTGAAAGTACAAGCCATCCTTATATAAGTGGTACTTGAAAAGTAGTGAATCTACTTTCAATAAAACTCGTATTTCGCCTTCTGAGTATCCTGAGATCTGCGTCCCCAGCTTGAAGTCGAAAACTACAAAAGAGGAGATTGGCGACACTCCAGAGAACTGCTCTTGTTGCTCATGCAGCTCGAAGAATACTCTCGACCTCTTTCTGTATAAGACAAATCCTGCAATAAGACTCAGATAGTCTTCCGGAAAATTTACTAGAAATGACGGCTAGGAAAACTTGACTCAACATTATCACGGAGGACGAATTCACTCAGCTAATAAGCAAGGATAAATATTCCTACGAAGCTTTCGTGTACGGGTAGAAATAATTAGTTGGGTTTAATCATTTCAAACTCCTCCAATGAATTTAAAGAATGAAGAATTAAGTGAATAAGTGGTTGAAGTAGCATGCCATACCTTCTACTAGAAACCGTGTTGTCGAGAGGTATGCGAAGAAGTGGATAAATAAAGATAAACGGGATTGTCACTATACTATAAAAACATTTCCTCTCACTTAGGTGTTGGTTTAGTATTTTCAATAATGAAACATTGTGATCGACCAAAAAATTCAAAAACATAACCCCCTCTCAAAATTTGAGGTTTCACGTTTCAAGATGCGTAGAATTTGAAAAACGAATAAAATTTTTTTGTCCGTCCGCCGTCCGCGCATTTTCTCCGAAACTACTGGACCGATTTTTTTCAAATTTTGAAATAAAATCAGAGGTCATCCGAGGATGATCCTCCTTCATCGACATTACTCTCCGCCTATAACTTTCAAAATGGTGGCCGAAAAACCTGCGTTGCTATAGACTGTAGCTCCTAAACGAATGTACAGATTTCAATGAAACTTCGCTAAAGTCATTTTCTCGACGCCCTTTAAATTTATCTATATAACATACTTCAACGAAAAAAAGCTGGAAAAAAAGTTACGAGGGATGTTAAAATTAAATTCCGAATAACTCGAAAAGTTTTTACTTTAAAAGTTTATGAAACTTCCTAAAAAAAAAAAAAAAAAAAAAAAAAATCGTTAAAATCGGACAATTAGGAGCAAAGATATGGTCTCTGGTTTGTTTTATGTGTTCTACTCCAAATGTTATATCCTTGGTTTGGTTTTTAAATTTTTAATGTGTTATTGAAGTAATGAAATTATTTTTTTTTTTTGCATATTACTAAAAAAAAGTTTAGTCCAATAATTGGAATCACCTTTTATTTATTTTTCTTTGTAACTAGGAAAGTAATGTTACTTTCGATGTACAATTGTTTGGAAATAATAAACCATTGTGAAATAATTTGCAGCGTTTTTTTTTCTATAGTATATCCTCTAGTTGAAGAAGAGTTAAGACCCCGATAAACAATTTTTATCCGGTTATCATACTTAGGTATTTGACTTAAGATGGTAAAAATTGACCTAAAAATATTATCGGACTTGGACAGACTAATAGCTTAGAGTTGGAATCTTTTAACTGTAGGGAAAAATTGACGCCGTTAAATATCAGTTTCCCAGTGATCAACTAATGAAAGGGATGCCCATTATGAAAGAGGTATGAATGAAATTCGAATGGGGCGCCAGAGGCGACCCCATTGAATGAGAGCCACGCCAGCGCAGTGGCCCCTGTCAATACAGGCGGAATCCCGAGCCGCCGATGGGAGATAGTCCTAGAGGATAATTGTCAACGATAACCGCTCAGGCCGTTCTAGAATCCCGTTCAGTTATGCCGTAGTTGTTCCATCTCGAATCCTCGTGTTACCGTTCTGTCTGAACCGTTCTTGTATTTAATCATCTGTCAGCTAGTCCGAAAGTTGACAAGATGGGTTGGACTAACATCCGTTATCAAATCGTAAGCATTTTCATTATTATTATAAATTAATAGTTGTTAGTATTTGGATCACTTACCTTCCATAGAAACCTGTGGGTTGCTTTATACACTTTAGGTATAAATCCACGTTTTATAGATTTGAACTCCGTTTCCATAACCTAGGATACATCACAGCACGAAATACACCACCGTAATTCACTGGCTTGGATTAAATGTTTTTGCTGAGCTACACACCCTTACAATTCAAATCAAAGTTGTTAGTTCGTATAATTCAAATAATTTGAAACACATCTCACACTTATTAAAATTCTCTTTTTAATTCATAACAATAACAATAAAAACGGATTTATTTGTAATTTACTTCTTTTTTTTTTTTTTAAGCCTCTCCCTTATTCTGTAGTTTGAGAAGAAGAAAAAGAAGAATTGTAGTCAACTGTCAACATTGCTGAGAAGTTTTAGATATTGTCTCCTTAGGTATCATTTGGTACCACTAAGCATATTTTTTGAGGAAGCCGAGAGTTTGTTTTGTTTATTTTTCTGTGTATAAATTTCCATCTTATTCATAGTTTAAAAAACACAGTAAGGGCGTCGAAATGAATGAAATATTCTTGCTTGAAGTGCGCAATATTTTGAATTAATAGAAGGAAAATTCATTGAAGTGCTTAATTTATTTTGTGAAATGTTATTGAATGATTTTTTGCAATGAACCAATGAAAGATACTTTAAATGTTTTTTGTTTTTTTTTTAACTTGTAAATTTCTTTTATTATCGATCCCTCATATTTTCATAAGCATTTCTGAAAATGCAATTACATAGTTATGTACACATTTATCTATTTTATATATCGAAATCCGGTCTCTTGTAATAATTTGTTTTGAATTGCACTGTAAGCTGAAATTGTTAAAAATTTACTTTTTGTATTAGAAATTACTCTTACGATATAAAACACTTTAATTTAAAAAAAATAAATTAAAGAACCATTAAAAAAACAACAGTAAAAGCAAAAAATTAGTTTTTAACACGCAATTTCATTTTTTAATAATTACCGACATCACTGAGAGCTTACTCCTTAAATTCATAATTAGCTTAAGTGATAGTTAATAATATACGTAGATATTTAAAAAAGAGAGGATTTAGTTTTAACTGGAAATAATGGAATTGGGATAAACTAGAATGATAAACAATTATTCCTTACAATGCGTTTGTGTTCGTAATGTGTTTACGTTAATAATGTGATTGTGTTGTTTATATCCAATAAATTTTAAATGTTTCTAATTTAGACAGAGTTGAAATTCAAAGGTGGCCTAAATTATCGTTACATTTTCATTTTAATTTGGCAAAGCTACCTATATGAATGTGACATTTAATTATAGTTAATAGTAAATTTAACTGGTTAATATCCACTTCATTATAATTTAGATATTGATTAAACCACACTTTATTATCTAAAGCTACTATATTATTTTTCTTTCACTGAAAAAAAAAATCCGACTAAAAACTCGTTGCTAAGAGACACTAGTGTAGTGTGGAAAAAGTGGGGGAAATTGCTGCAAAGAGCACCTGCAGAGGCTAATTTGCTCTTTTATCATAATCTTCATTGATTCTTCTCTCGTTTAGTCTATTACAATGTACTGTTAGATTTCCATGAAGTGAAACAATATGCTCCTTCTAATAGGCAATCATCTTCTTTATTATACGATCGTCGTCTCCTCCTCCAAATAAAAATTTGGACGAGAAATTCGTTTCGCTCCTCAATATTTCGAAAAACTAAAATTTAAAAAAGCAATAATAATGAATCTACATGAATAAATAAAATATGTAAACTAAAATAAAATCATAAAATATGAAAAGTCGACTAAATGGCTCAGCTAAGTCTTAGAAGTAGGTACGCGAGTAATCTACCAAATCCTATGATCCTATTATTGAAATTTTAGTTTATATTCAAAGATAAATTATATGTGTCAACATATCCTAGAATTTTACGATTTATTCATGAGCACTTTTTCATTTGTACATGAAGATTTTATCACATTTCCCTCGGCAATATAGTCATTTTGCCGAAATCTTGTATGACAATTTGGACGTTTTAGAGATAGACCCAGAGTTTCGAGAAGGAAAAAAAAATTACCAGTTCCTGCCTGACATTCTTTAGTATTTGTTGTTGTTAAGTTGTGAAAAGTGTTTTCTTGTTTTTTTTTTATATTTCATCTAGTAAACGTTTGATAATTGTAAGGATCCTTACCATGCTTAAACTTTAAGTTTCATCTGTTACGGTTCAGGCGACCTGTCGAGTAGATATGCTCCTCTACCTGCGGCATGCTTGCATCTAGCTGTATATATATTGCATTATCTTAGTCACATAGAGTGACGAGATCACGACTATCTCAACGAGCCAAAGAGATCGTAGACTACAGACTGTATTCTTTGTGCGTAAATCTTAATTTTGAAGGTTCAGCTAGAATTCTAAATCCTGCCAGAACATTCTGTCTTCATCTATCCTTCAGTCTTATTCTATATATTGTTTTCGTTTGGTAGTGTAGACCTTGAAGGTGAACTCTTTGATTATTTTATACTTATATTCCTGACGAGAGGCTTGAGAGGTTTAACCATCCTCATGATGCTACAAACAATGGTGTTCTACCCAGTTTCAGATTTATTTAAGCCGATTTGGCAGTGTCCTTTCCATCAATTTACTCGGCCTCAAGGATAGTGACATATCGGTCTAGATTAATAGAGTATGACTACACGATCAGCAGGGACGCAAGGCCTATATTTCTTTCCTCGAAACATACCTAAGAACAAACCACCTGCCTGTTACTGATCTGGAAAACCAATATCAACAATAATCAAACGTGTAAAGCTACATGTAAGACTTTTCTCATGATTTGCTTTTTCCGATGCAGACATAAAAAGCAAGATCTAGTCACTCAAGCAAAGTGAGTGCTGTTAAGGAAAAAGACAAACCGTTATTGGCATTTTTACCCTGTGTAAGAGCGATACCACCGGATAGAGAACGAACCGATTTAACATGTATGTTGTGGGTTTAAAGTATGGATAAAGTTAAAAATATGGATCATATGTGTTTTTGTATCAAATCATTACCTCGTTGGATCTACAAGTAATCCATAAATAAGTGGGAATTAGATGACCCATTTTTTTAACCTCTATTTCGAATTCAAACTTTTCTTTAGTTTAACTTATAGCTTTCTTTATGATGCATAACATCTTTATCTTCAAAAAACTGAACGTATATCCATTTATATATATTACACATTGAGATATGGGTTAAGTAAAAAGATAGAAAATAAGAAACTCTTTAAAAATTAAAATAAAAAATATACTTGTAATATGCGAATTAAATAGCTATAGTTATTATTACTATTTTTTCTTTAGTTATTATTACTAATATTGTTAATTCCTTTGTCTCAAAGAGTTATTGCCTCAGTTATTGTCTCAAAGAGTTAAAATTGACCTGCTTTAACCATTGATAGATTTATGCTGTCATTCTCCAGGAGATGTCGACAGTCCACTTACAATTTATGGCTACAATATTATTGCCCTGCTTTTGTATATTGAGCCTCATTTGTCCCAAAAGTTTATCGTTAACACATGCTTGGTGCATTATTACTTTTAACAAAACAAAAAAAAACTTTCCCACGGGAATAGTTAAATAATAGCCATCCCCTCCTTTATCGTTTCCTATATATTGAGCTCGAAAATATCCTACAAACAATTCCAACTTTAAAAGTCAGACATGTAACATTAGTTTAAGGCTCACAAGCATCAGGTGATAATTCTTGTTTTAAACCGGTCCGTTTTTTTTGTTTTTTTACCGTAAAGAAGAAATCAAGGGATCTGAATTGATCAATAAATTATTTTAAATGTCCCTATTTTTTCAATTCTCTCAATACTTTTCTCGAATGATTTTCACTATATTTTCTAAATAATTTATGATTTGCCTCTTGTGCAGCTTCAGACAACTGGCCTATTGGTACTATCGCATTCTTCACAACACCTTTGCCGTGAATCAAAAGCTCTTAATCAATCTCTTAGGAGCTATAAGCTCCTAAAATATCTTAGGTGGAAATTTTTGATTAAAAATAAAACTGACCATGGACAATGATAACAGAAACTAAGAAGAACAGTTTAACCAAAAAAAGATGGGGAAATTCGAAATTTCAGATATTAACATATGGCCACGAAATACATATGTTCGCCCCCTTCGCAGCAACCAGCCGTATCAAAAATTCTTAATCTTAGGTCTCGATATTGATCAAAATGTTGATGAAGTTAAAGATTCTTTACAGCACATCCAAGGCATCTTAGACATCCGTTGCCTTCAGAGGACTGATGCCAGCGTTGCTAAAACCGTTTTATCCCCAATTCTCATAACCACAACACCGGAGGTTGATTCTCAAATAGTTATGTCATTACAAGCCATAAACCGAGTCTTAGTTGGCATATTAAAGTACCAAAAATCCAAAGAAGTCCTACAATGTTATAGATGCCAACAGTTCGGGTACCCTAAAAATCATCGTATTCTTTTCTGCCTACGCAGCTCAGGGCCCCATGATATAAAGGAATGCCGGCGAGAGGCGAACAGAGTGAATTTCAACAACTGCAAGGAAGAACACGTGACCTCATTTCGTCAATTTCCTAAGATATTGGAACTCCTGGAATATCTGAAGAGGAGAAACGAAGGTGGTCACAAACCTCCCACCGAAACTATTCCTTCTCAAATTTTCAAAACCTCACAAACCAGCAAAACAGAACACTTTTTTCAGGGATTTTTACAGGAGTCTATGACCAAGTTTCAATATCTCTACCTTGGGGATAGTGTACTAAAAAGAAAAAAATATGGCGGGAGTTTTTATTATGTATTAAAATTCAACATAATTATTGTGAAACGAACAAATATAACATTGAGTGTTTCAAATTAATTTGTTTATATGTTTGTATAATTGTAGAGATTTGTATTTTATGTTGTTTTTTTTTTACTTATTATATATACTTAAAATATCTAAAAAAAATAATAATAATATATGACGTATTGGTTTAGATTAAACAAGAGGGAGAGAGGAAGCAGCCTTCATAACATTAGCACCTTTCTAGAACTTTCTAGAAAAAGTTCTTTCAGCTAAAAATAAATAATGTAAAAAAAAATATTTGAATTAAAAAAAAGACGCGATTACAGAAATTCTGAAATTCTATCGACCCTAAGAGAATGTACTTCCATATCTACTTAAACATCTTTGTACAGTAATTGACATCTACGAGTATTTAAACTTGGTTTAATGTAGTCGGGTGTCTTTCACTACACATTACGCCTTCAGACAAATAGATTTCGTCCCATCTATTGGTGCAATTAAATATCCGAAAGTCTTGAGTTTTGTTCGGGGGTGGTAGCCACCCGACTATTACAAGTTTAAATATTATTAGATATTAATTTTCCTATCAATCTACCAAGATGTTTTAATGAATATGAAAGTAAATTTCCTGCTGAATAGAATTTCCCAATTTCTGTAGTCGGTTTTTTTTAATTCAAATATTTGTTTAAGTTTACATTTTTATAATTTAAATATTAACAATTTATTTGTATTACATATCATGTAACATGTTAAAATAACGATTGTTAGCCTGTCCAACGTTTCACATTCGTTGCTTTAAAGTTAAAAATCGGTCAAGCCATCCGCTCAAAACGTACTTATCTTTTTAGCTGATCGATTGAACAAACTTTACACAGTAATTTTCCGAAATATAAATAAATTCAAAACATTTTATTTAATAATGAAGAGTGGGATGGTCGGGTTGATCAATCAAAATAAAAATGACAAAAATAAATAATAATGCTTATTTTAACATTTACTGACGTTTCGACCCGAAGTTCAGGCATTCATCAGGGCTGATCGAAGCAATCGCTTGAAGAGAATTTTATTTAATAATGGTCCAGTATTTTTTTGGCTCAAATTGTTCTAAAACATGCAGGGGAACTCAGTGGACAATTTAAGCCATCAAACTTAAAAATCGATCCAACCGTTCGCTCCAAAAAGCATTACATAGCTTGTAGTGAACGACCCTCGTTTCGCTTCGCTTAGTAGGGTAAAAAGTGAAGAAAAATCTTTGAATTCTTACTGTGTACAACCTCAAATAAAAATACGTTTTCCGCAGTCCTACTAGTTTGTCCCGAAAAACATGATAAGAATATCAAGTGAAAATTGATGATAGATTGAATCATAAAATCCTAGGATATGTATATGTTGGATATGTTGATATATGTATATATATTATTATCTTTGAATATAAATGAAAATTTAAATAAAAGTAACATTTAGGTATCAATAAAATAGTTACATACTTGCTACGAAGCCCTAGCCTATCCCGCTTGTCGAATTTTCTTAATCGGTTTTAATTTACTCATTTTATTCATTCATGTAGCTTATTTAGAAATAGAAATAGAAAATAACTTTATTCTGGGACAAAGTCCCTTTAGAATAACAAAATAGTACAGAATTAAAAGACTAGATCTGGCCTAAATAAAACATTAAAAAAAAAAGAAATAGTAAAGAAAATATTTGTTAAACAAGCTATATACAACCAAAAATAAATCTTTATACAAACCACTTGAAACTATGTACAGTAGGAAAAATTATAATTATACACTTTCGAGAAATAAAATAATAAAAAATACATTGAGTTCTTCTTTAAAATAAGATCTGTGTTTCTGCTAAAAAAGGAAAGACGAATCTAACAACATAAAATGTCAGAGTATTCAATAATGAATAATTTGTAAACACATCATTATCTTATTGTAACTATAGGTATAGATTTAATTGTATTAGAATAAAAAATAATAAAAATCAAACAACAGATGTATTCAGTGGCATTAAGAGTAGAAAGATATTGTAACATCCCTAATGAAGTTTACAGTATGCAATAGTCCTATTATTTGATGATGAATGATATAACAGAAATGTATAATAACAAAAGTATAGCAAGTATCTGACTATTTTTGGGATAGGAATTGGAATAGGAGGATTTTAAATGTGGATATGGAGTTGGAATGCCAAATTTTGATAGGTAGGGAACTCCAGAAATTGACAGTTTTTTTTTATAATTTTAATAAACCCGATTGCCTAAAAACAATATTTAATGATGAAAAATGAATTCTAAAAATACTGATTTTTTAAATATTTTTCGGATAAATTGGTTATAAACTGTATTTTTCACCCATATCTCTATTGTAGGAATTTATATGCACTTGTGAGTGACAAAATACAAATTTCTAGTCCTAAAATTTATGTTTAAAATAAATAAATAAAACGTTAATAGCAGATTCAGGAACATTTAATTTATCACTTTTAAATACGGATTAATTCCTAAAATAGAGATCTGAGTTAAAAACACAGTTTATAATCGATTTACGGAAAACAATGTTTGAAAAATCAGCATTTTTCAAATTAATTTTTTTTATGAATAAAATGTGTGTTTAGACAATCGGTTTTATTAAAATAAATTCCAGGTCATGGAAAAACAAGAAGTAAAGGCTTTACTACAATTAATTGTTATCATTTTTGCTTAAAATCGGCGTACTTTTACTTGACAGGATAAAGAATATCATTGTTTTACAAAACTTAACCTGAATATCAAATTATTTTCCTAATAAACCTTAACTTAATCGATACGAACTTAAAGCTTATTAAAGGATGAAGTTTCTGTAAAAGTGGGGAAACTGTAGTATAGTTGGATAATGATAAAAAAAAAATGGCGAATAATTTACAATTCTTCTAAAAACAGAACTTAGCTTAGTTTTGCGGTTCGAAAGACCTATGTGAATAATTTTAACAATGCTAAACTCTATGTTCATTGAAAGTAAATTTCATCTTGTTTTCAATGAAGCAATTATTATTTACTTAAATTAAATATTTCTTTATTTATTGCTTTCAATTAAATAAAAAACATGAATCACTTTAAAAAACCCAAAAACTTGGATTTACTACTTTTCTGCTAAAAATCGGCCCACTGTTTATATGAACTTTTTTGGAGGTCTTGAGGTCTGCTATCACTCCTATAAAGCTTTTCCTCAAGTTGGGTTTTTTTGATTTTTCCAATGATTATTTGGCTGATTTTATTTATTTTAATTTTGTTTATAATAGTTATTAAAATTTTATCTCAATTTTAAGAAGTAACTAAATCAGATGGTTGGGCCAAGTGGCATGTATGCCCAGAAATTCCATTCCCAAACGCCTGCTGAATGATCGACCCGGTGGAAGACTTAGCAGAGGAAGGAGATGGCTGGAGGTGGTAGAGGACATCCTAAAAAGGAATCTCTGGGAATCCAGAGATGGAGAATGCTCGCCCGAGATAGAGAAGAGTGGAGAATAATAATAAGAGAGGCCCTTGTTCTTGTAGGACCGTGGCGTCAATAATTAAATAATAATACTTAATTATCAATAATTTATATTTTTATAATGTTTTAATTCTATTTTTATTTTCAGAAAGAACTTTTCGGGACAAAACTCGAATCCGCGGAAGGAACTTCAGGTTCAGAAAGGAAAATGTCCTCGAGTTCCACCGCTTCTATGAAGTCTAAATGGCTGAAAGCTTTTAAAAGTCTTAAAACACCTCCTCCCAATGGGAAAGAGGTAGAGAAAGAAAAGTAAGTAGTTTTTCTGTTTTTGTCAAAAATCACTGAGATAAATGAATTTATTACATGACATAAGGTTCCTATATTTAGTGCTATATATGCATGAGGTAGACATTTTGTCTTAGTTATACATTTTTATGAGAAAGATTTTTGTTTACTGATTGCACATGAAAAAGAATAATGTAGTGGATTGTTCGTAGCTTGAATTCTTAAATTAAATTAAATACTGATTTAAGAAGTTTGAAAATTGTATTGATCACAATTTCAATTAAAAAATATAGTAAGAAAGCTGTTTTCCTCAATCCGAGTTCCATATATTTATATTTATAATCATTAAAATTCGTAAAAAAAAAAACTTTTTTATAAGATTTTGGAAAATTGTTGTTAATTTTAATTAAATTGGTTGTATTTAAAATGTTAGTTTCGATGGAACATATGATTTCACAAATCTTATCTCTCTTATGAAGACAAAATTTGTCATTACAAAAATGTGTTTACTTCTCTTTGGGGTGATCCTATAATGGTTAATAAAATTGACTACAATGCTAAACACCAACGATGGTGTTGTCGAGCATCCAACTCCCGCGTTAGGTAACAAACTATCGTATCTTCTTTCTGAACTTTCAATAATTAATCCATCCTCATCCCCTCTCCTAGGAACCCAACCTACTTTTTTTTGTTCTCCCCTTTCTTGCCTTTTAAGCTATACAGGGTTTTCTCGGGCCAGGAAGCGAGGACGGAGGATTAATGCCAGAGTTAAAATACCTTACGGCATCGAGAGTCGAACTCGTAACTATGTTTTCATCTATTGTTCATAGTATGAATGGCTACTCTATATCACTATTACTATTGTGCTTGAATGTGACAGATTGTAATATATCTCATCTATTTTTCATCTATAACTTCGGTTATCAGGTTGTCGGGCTACGGGTGGGGCACTAGCGGATCCAGGATTTAATTTTGAGGGAGGCTTCAGCCCGGAAGCTTTTTTTTCATATATATAACGATAATTACATTGGAAAAACAGAAATATACTAACTACCTATATGAAATGGTGTTTAAATGATTCTTGAAGTCCTATTAAATGTTATTAAACGAGCAATAATACTTTAAGACATAATTTTTTAATATTTTTTACCATAAAACATGGTTACATTTTACCATTTTGGGGGTGAGTTCAGCCCGAAAGCCCCCCCCCCGTAAATCCGCCTGTGGGGTGGGGTAATGTGCACACGCGTTATCCCGCTCGGCTACCCTGCCCCTGAACCCTTCCTGCTGTCCAACTTCCCTCAAAAGACGTCCTGATATTCTGGATATATTATTCACCTCCCAGATTTCCTTTTCTGTTGTCACAAATACCTCCATGACCTTTCTTCATATCATATTCCAATTCTACTTTCGTTATACTCAACCTCCTCCCCTCCTACATTGGTTACAGGACGAGTAAACCGGAACAAATTCGTATTGATTTGGTAAATAAATTGGACAATATTCCACTCAAGACGAAACATGAGATTGACACAGCCATAGAACTACAACACCCATAAGAGACCCATCTACGAATAAACTATAACTCGTCTACGAATAAACTATAATTCGTCTACGAATAAAATTAACAACTCTCAACAGACTAAATTTCCACAGGAGGATATTATTAAGGGAAAAAACGCAGAGCAAGATCGAAGTGGCACAGGACTATATACTCATTAGATAAATATAGTTTAATAGGTTAAAAGTAAAAGGATAAAGTAGGTTAGTTAATATGTTGTATTATGAAGTTAACTAACCTACTAAAAAAAAATTTACGTAACCCTACAGAAAATCTTACATCTACTGACAAATCACTGTGGTTGGCCATAAAAAAAAAACCCTGAAATTCCGGGATTTTATTCATCGTTTAACTGAAACTCAAACCTGGTTTAGATCTGACAAAAAAAAATTTCTATTTGCTCAGCATCTCTTCAAAATCTTTATTATACACCCAGATATCCTGAATCCAATCCGCCTTGAATAAATTGAAACAGAATTAGTAAATTCCACTCCTATTTACTCTCCCAACTAAACCATTTCTTCCTTCAGAAATTTTCATCATTTGTCGTTTATCTTCCCGCAAAGCTCTTGGACTATATGGACAAAGCCTTATCAAACCCCAAATCTTAAAGCTTCTTCTTCAAAAAGCTATCTTATTTCTCACCTAAATATACAATACCCTTCATTGGAGCGCGGGTCGTACTGCATGAGTGTCTTTCTGGACGTAGAACAAGCATTTGGTCGATTTTGACACCCAGGATTGCTTAACGAAATCCATCAATTATTATCCCATACATACTAACTCATTATCTTTTCCTAAATGATTCAGACAGATTATTTAAGGTAAACCACAACGGTGTCTATTTATCAATTTTTTTCTCAGTCTACTGGTGTACCTCGAGGTAGTATCGCCGGTCCAATCAGCTATACAGTTTCCAACTCATCCTAACACAATCATTTCCACTTATCCTGATTATACATGTTAGTTATCAGTTAATAAAGACCCATTTATTGTTTTCCTAACCCTTTAGGCATATTACATTTTTTCTTGACCTTCATCTTATTTTTCATATGAGTAAATGATTAAAATTTTATAAGCTTTGTTGGATTGATGTTTTAATTATGATTACAATATGGGCCATTCTCTCATTTTGTTGGAATTTCGCAACTGTGATTCTATTAGAAAAAAGTAGTATAAAAAAAAGGTTTTGTTTTCATAAATAAATTAATAACAGTTCACGAATCGTACTAGCAAAAAATCCCTTCATAGAATGTAGTCTATATGCATATTTAGGATCATGACTGAAAACATGAAAGTGAGGGAAATAGAAAGGGTATGAGGAAAATAGAAAACACTCAATATTTAATTAATACAATATTTTTATTATCAAATCAGTCAATTAAAAGATATTATTCAACACTGAATAAACATTTAAACATAAAACAAGAATAATAATAATAAATAAATAAAACTTTTGGAATCGTAAAACATTACAATATAAATTTAATTTTTCGAATCGAAAAAGGAGTGAAATTTAAGTTACCACTGTGATTTTATTTTGACTAATTATAGGATATGCTAGTAAAATCATATAATTAGTTTCAAAATAAAATCACAGAGATAACTTAAATTTCACTCCTTTTTCGATTCGAAAAATTAAATTTATATTGTAATGTTTTACGATTCCAAAAGTTTTATTTATTTATTATTATTGTTCTTGTTTCATGTTTAAATGTTTATTTAGTGTTGAATAATATCTTTTAATTGACTGATTTTATAATAAAAATATTTTATTAATTAAATATTGAGTGTTTTCTATTTCCGTATATTTACTATCATATCCTATAAACTTTCACTATCTTTCCACTACTTCCAAATCTCGCAAGTCGCAAGAAAGACTCGCAAGATTCTGCAGTTCTGAATTTTGATTTTTCGAGCTGGTAATTCCATCAAAATATGACTGGGTCTGAGACAGAATTGGTCGTTTATGTTTAAAATGAAATCACGTTTTAAAATTTGAAACGAATATAGGCCAAGAGCAGTTGTTTCATTATTGTGCACACTTATCAAGCAGCAAATGTAACGTTACTCTTTTTTACTATCAAATCGTGTAATGATCTAACTCCCCTCCTTTGGTTACCGTAAGGATGAGCACCTGGTTTTTCCTCAGTGATTAATATATCGTGATGTGATATGGGCTGATGGAGTGAAAGCCGACGCCCGAAATATCGTTGGTGTCCACAACTGGAAGGTAGCAGCATTATTTGGAGAGGACTGGCGGTTGAAATTATGGGAGGCCTTGACTCTTCAAGAGTTGTAGAGCCATCCATGATGATGATGATGATGATGATGATTAATATACCTTGAAGTTGGATGTCTATTGTATCTTCAGGTTCACAAATCATAGTCTCAAGAAGAAAGCATGGATGAAGCGCAAATGTTTCTTTTAATATTTCCTTATCTGCTTAAGAGTGTTGAATAGAGCAACACCAGAACTTGTTTCGTGAAATCTGATGGAGAACTTGTTGCGTTTCAAGCAATCAAAACAACTCAATTTGTTCATTTTTAAAATCCTTCCATTTCGGTGGTATACAACCTGGTAAACCTGCATAGTGGAATCAATGATGATTTTCCAGAAATGTCTTCTGGAGCTATCACATACAGTATGACTTTCCGTTTTTTTTTTTCCAAGCACTTCTATTAATGTTTCGAAGGTACTGATATCCTGCCCAGATCTGACTGCTGTGTCAGCCGTTCGCTTCAAACACCCTCCGATTCCATCCACTGCACCCTTGCCGTGACCAGCAGCAGAATAGTTCCACGTGGCACATTTCAGTTCAAAAAATTGTCCGGTTTCTATACTGAGTGGCAGGTGAGTCGGATTGGAAGTGAACTGCGACAACGTTTTGTAAATTTACAGCAATGTAATCAGAAAATGGTTTAAGGGTCGGCCATGCAGCTGCAGGTTCATGATTGTTACTCTCTGAAACGGTACAAAATGATAGGGATTGTACTTATTCAAACACATTCTTCCTGAAATAAATTTGTACAGTGTGTAATGAAAATTGTTGGCGGCTACTTCCGAAGTGAAATGACTGAATTTCCTGTCCGTACTTCTTTGGCGTAGTTCTCAGAGATCGCAGTGAGTTATAACTTCATTTTCAGCCAATCGAGCTTTCAAATTCTTGAGCAATCGGAACTAGTGAAATTTGGAAATAAAAAATTTTAGTGAATTTATTATTATATTTTTAAATAAGTAGCTATCGGAGTAAAATTCGGAAAGTGTAAAAAAGGATGAGCGAATATTTATATTTACTCCTCATATAGGGATTCTGTCATAGGTTGAATCAATTTTTTCATGGACAAATCAGGGACTCATTGCAGGTTTATTTTTCAATTGAACTCTGAAAATATGTATATCAAAGGTCTAATTTTATTTTATTGAACTTGCAGTTCATCATATTGTGCTCTATTTCCCTCA